TATTGGCGAAATGGGAAACTGGCGAAGTGGGAAAATAGCGAAATGGGAAAATGGCGAAATGGGAAACTGGCGAAATGGGAAAATGGCGAAGTGGGAAAATGGCGAAATGGGAAACTGGCGAAATGGGAAAATGGCGAAGTGGGAAAATGGCTAAATGGGAAACTGGCGAAATGGTTAATGGCGACACGGCAAATGGCGAAGTGGGAAACTGGCGAAATGAGGTGACACCGCTCGCACACCCCCAGATTCCCCACTGTATACAGTGTATTATATACTAATATAGTGTATATAGTGTATGCAGCCCAATGCAGGGTGCGAAATTAACACGAGTTCGAATCGAGTCAAATACTCCCTGATTTGACATATGCAGGAGTCCGTGTGACTCCATGAAAATTAATTCTGCTAATACAGTACTAACTAGTTCGTTCCAGAGCACGGCCTCGCAGAATTACCGTATTTTTCCCAGCAAGTGTTCCAAGAAAATTTGGCAGACGTGCACCGCAAATGTCCTGCTACACAAGGCAGCTAATACAGTGTATACGCGCATTACATTCATTGTATAAGTCAACAAAATGACGACTTACGCGCAAGTCGTCATTTTCGTAAGTCGACACAAATATGCTGGTCCCAAAAGTGTCGACTTATGCGAGTTTTACTGTAGTTCTTATACAGAACAGACCACTGAGCATGCTAATTCTCACCTGGACAGTTTCATTGTCACTATCTTGTAAACAGCATCGTCTGCAGTCATCCTCTAATGTATTAAGATTAAACTGAGCAAGTTCATCACAAGAGCTGCACATCAAGTTCGACGAGAAGCCAATATCATGACAGTTATCAAATTCACTCTTCACCAGTGTAAACTGTAAATACAATAAAACAGTAGCAATGAGTAGAATGCAATCACTCAGGCATAGATAATTAACAAAGTGTTTTACAAAAACACACAAGAGGTAACACTTGCTAGCCTAAATTTATCTATGAATTATCAATTGCAAGATAACATGACTGCTTATTGAGAAGGAAAAGTAAAATTATGATTATGAATTTATTGGCCTGACACCTGGTTGGCCTTACTGGAATTGTTGCCGAGGATTAGTAGGCACATGCAAATAATCGGCAGTGCAGAGCATTTTTGGGAGGGGAGGGGTACTGCTTTTGTATATACCTTGATGAAGACTCTAGAATCTAGGAACTAATTAGCAGGTAGTTTTAGGCTAATACTGTTGTGAGACTAAGTGACAGCAGGCATGAAGTGCAACGTTACGGTCATACCTTTCTAGATAGGACCATAAAGCTGCAGCACTTGGTGATGGAATTTTGTTAAAGTGTGCAATTCTTCATTGGCAACACACAAGACCCCTTTCCACAAACTCTCAAGTGGCATCACACGCCAGGGCACTTTACGGCCCAATCCTAGTTTAGCACCGCGGATTAGTTTTGCACATATGCGGGGTGGTCATAATAACATATAGGGGGAGAGAGTCACGGAGAGGGAGACTGGGCGTCTATCTGCGAGAGGGGAACAAGGAAGTGAGCAAGAGGAAACAACGGATAAAGAGCGAGAGCGAGAGCGAGAAAGAGAGAGAGAGAGAGAGAGAGAGAGAGAGAATCAATTGCTCTTACTCACCCTCAACCTGTGGAAATCTTCCCAATTTTCATCCACACACTTCTAGTCTTGCATATGGATACACCTAGCAAAAGATGAAGAGATAATGTTGCAGTTGGTTTTTGTCATTCTGTGATATGCAGAATATAGTTGATTTGAGAAATGCAAATGCACTCTAATTTTTTGGAATACATTAAAACTCGCGTAAGTCGACATCGTCTCAGTCGTCAATTCGCGTAAGTCAACATGAAAGTCAAAGTCCCGATTCGCTCTCATAGTAAATCCATTGGAATAGCCCCGCTTAAGTCGACTTTATGTATGAGTCGACGCCCTCAGACAGGTCCCATGTAATACAAACAACAGTAATTTCCCATCTGTAAGTCGACATCAGAAATGTCGATGGCGCAGTGTACGGTCTAGGACTCTAGGGAATACACGAGCTGGCTGTCCCAGACGGATTGTTTGAATTGCATTGTTCGCTTGCACGCATTGTATTTTTTCCCAGCTCGCAGCTCGCACTGTTTATTCCAATTTCCCACTTCGCCATTTGGCATTTCACCATTAAAAATTCCCACTTCGCCATTTTCCCACTTCGCCAGTTTCCCATTTCGCCAGTTTCCCATTCCGCCATTTCGTCCTATCTCCCCGACCACCCCCTTGTTCAAGGTGGGTTAAAAGTAGGCATCTGTAATGAATAAATTATAACGAATCTTTAGATATAGAGTCAACTATTTATTTGAAGAACAAGAAGGCGAAATCATACATATCAAAACATATGGATCATGTACAGGCATCCTAACCCTAACCCTAACCCTAACAACCTAGAAATGACTCTTTTTTAAGAATGGAAGGAACAATTTCGTGCAGGGGGTGGAAGCAACATAAAATATTGGCGAAATGGGAAACTGGCGAAGTGGGAAAATAGCGAAATGGGAAAATGGCGAAATGGGAAACTGGCGAAATGGGAAAATGGCGAAGTGGGAAAATGGCTAAATGGGAAACTGGCGAAATGGTTAATGGCGACACGGCAAATGGCGAAGTGGGAAACTGGCGAAATGAGGTGACACCGCTCGCACACCCCCAGATTCCCCACTGTATACAGTGTATTATATACTAATATAGTCAGGAGTCTATCAATAGGAGTAAGACAGACTGAAACCGGCAAAATTCAACATTTAGTTGCCTTAGTCTACCTATGATTTATTGTGTTTAACTCGATAAACTTGAGCTCAAATCTTACCTTAATCATTAAACTAATTCCGTGTCTAATCGTTGGTCTCACAAAAATGACAAATCGGGAGATATCGGTCCAAACGTACAATGTGGTTTTTGAAATTTATACCGCATTGTCAACAACTGTGAACCGAAAC